TAGATGGTACATTAATCATAAAAGCTAATGAAACTCATGAAGATGAATCATTTGCACATAAACTTGAAAAACAAAAGAAGACCTTTAACAACTGCAGAGAGACACAACTAAAAAGAGGACATATTTTGCTAAAAATGTTTGTAAGAAGAACTTAAAAAAATCTCCCTTTACTCGGTTCTCTGAATTAATAAAAATCTACTTATTTATGCTTATCATTTAATATTTAGTGTGTTTCCTGAGACAAATAATATACCCCAAAAATATTTCCAACGTCGGGATGAAAATACAGGATATTTGGTCATTTAAGTTCTTATTTCAGGAAGATTTGATGTATACAGAAAATAAATAAATAAATTAATAAAAACTGTCAATAACCTATCTACATCATGTCACTCCAAATACATAAATAAGCAATAAATATCATGAAAATAATTTCACATGGCTCAAAAAAATCCAAATGGTAATGAATATAAATCAGACATGTTCTTGACATCTTCTACACTGTGGTTTCATATCATAGCAGTCGCAGCATGTCCAGCGCCCACCTGTTTCTGTCTGACTGATTTTAGATGTCTTAAAATAGTGCACATTCATCCGTTCAGACCAAGACGCCACAATCCTTTGCCATCTGATACGAACACGGATCCGTCACATAGCAGCTATTGTATTAAATATATGAGCAGTTCAGCCAGCGCCAGTATCAGACTCTCTCTGAAAGAGACGAGGAGCCTGAACACAGAATAAAATGATTCATAAATCATCAAACCCGACAAAGCTTGGCCCAATTTGAAGTGTGAGCCACCTGGACTTCAGCAACACACTGTGAATACATACAGCTGCCAATTATTTCTCTGTCTAAAATCCTCTCGATCTCTTTTTCTTACCTCTCGGAGAAAAAGCCACGTCTCATACGAGCGGCTCAAGTCAAGACGGGCTCAGCGGCGAGAGAAATGCTGATGTCACCTGACCTGAATGGGTTTCTGGGCTGTGCCAGCTTACAATGCAGCAGTGCCTGTGGGTGCAGGTGGCACTGAGCATTAGGAGGCAGATTTATAGTCTAAGACTGGCAGCTGCAGGTCTGCAGTGCCTGATATTGCTAAAGAGGGAATGAGTTGTACCACAGTACTGAATTATTACCATATACCATGGTATTTCTAGTGGTGCAATGTCCAATTAAAGATGCTATTTATAAACATGACTGTACTGTAACTATAACCTAAATTAAATGGCAATACAGTACTTTGACCAAGGCATCAAATGTTTTCGATATGGTATGCCAACGTACTTCAAAAAGTACCATAGTATGAGTTCCAAAAACATTGTATTACTAAAGCAATACCACAAAAACAGGGTAATACTTTGATATATATTATAGTATTAGGTGATTACTCCAAGGAAATGTGAAAAAAAACCACTATGATATCTACAGTACATAGTGATATTGTAACAATAACCTAAATTAAATGGCAATACAGCACTTTGACCATGGTATGCTAAAGTACTTAAAAAATACCATGGAATAAGATTTAAAAAAAAAACATGGTAATCTCACAAAAACGGTGGATATATCAAAAATACTTTGATATATATCACAACATTGAGTCTTTACCATGGTAGTTACATAGTACTCCAAGGATATGTACTTTGACATGACATCAAATGTTTACTATATGGTACACCAAGGCATACCATGATATAAATTCAAAAAGCATTGTACTACCAGAGTAATACCACAAAAACAGGGTGATATTTTGATATACATCGTGGTATCGTGTGATTACCATGGTATCTACATGGTACTCCAAAAAAAAGAAAAAAAAAAACCTTAAGAAACTTAACTATGTATTTATTACAGTAAAAGTGTAACCATGTTTTTTGGTATATTGATTACCATTTGTATAACCACATTTTTACTACAAATATGATGGTTAATCTATGGTTAGTGTAGCAACCCTGTTGAAAAAAACAGCATATGCTGGTTAGGTATGTTTTGAAGCTGGGATGCTGGTTTAAGCTGGTCCTTAGCTGGTCATGTGCTGGTCCTAAACTGGTCCGACCAGCTTAAGACCAGCACATGACCATCTAAGGACCAGTTTAAACCAGCATAAACCAGCAAAAGACCAGCTCAAACCAGCATCCCAGCTTCAAAACATACCTAATACCATATGCTGGTTTTTTTCAACAGGAAAACCATGGTTAATTTGACGTTGCCATGGATTAACCATGGTTTTATTTGTAGTAAAACCATGGTTAATTTTCATAAGGGACAGTAACTATAAGCTAAATATTAATACAGTATTTTGACATATACCATGACATCAGTAGTTCACTATACCGAAATCCAATGTACTTTTAAAGAATATCATAGTATAAGTTTAAAAAAACAATGCACTACCATGGTAATACTACAAAACGGGGTAATATTTTGATATATATTATATTATTGAGTGATTACCATGCTAAAAACATGGTAGCATGTCCAAAAATACCATACCATACTATATATATATATACACATACAGTATATGACAGCAAAATGCATATACAATGATATTTACATGATAGTCTAATATATCTGTTCATAACAAAATCATGGTAATTTCCTATTTACCATGGCATTTACACGCCACTCCAATGTACTTCAAAAAATACTAAGCTATTAACATGGTGTTACAAAATACTCAAAGAGGGTGAGCAAAGAATCAAATGCCAGTTGATTTCAGAGTGAAATGGGGTGTTGAACAGAGACTTGGCTTGAGCCTGCATCTGTGCTGCCCATTAGACTAAACAGACCTGACCTGTCATTGTTGTGTCTGGTCATCGGCCTGTCTGGAGCGGCTTTTGACCAGCACAATCTGTCAGCCGTGGCCTCATGGGCATAACAAGCCATCACACACACGGCGTGCCAAACACAATCAGCGTCCACAACAGCTGCGAAATGTTCTTTTCTCAGTTACATGATGAATCATGCTGACCGGACCTGAATACATCAGCTCGGTCTCCAGATAGGGAGGAAAAAGGGGCGTGTGCCACAATCTGCACTACCAGATCAATAACACAAATATCTGAATGACTTCAATGACTGGACTCTTCATACTGGGGATGAGGACAAGCAAAGCACATCAACAAATCATAAATGATCATCTCAGAAAAAGCCTTTTTTTCGCCACTTTTGGCAACAATGAGAAGTGTTAATGATGCACATTGGTTTCAGACACAATATGAATCAAACCTTGTGATTACTGTACCAGATTACAAAACTAGTATTCTGACATTTATCAATGATTAAATAAGAAGTAAATTTTTTTTTTTTTAACCACACATTAACATTACACCAGGCTATAAATATTTTTAAATACACACACTCACATAAAATAGATTAGTTTATAAAAAATATAATTAATAGGGAATAATAATACCTAGCAATAATAATACAATGCATTGATATTTTTATAAAAACAATACAAAATTAAATATGTTGTAATATATTTACATATGCATTCATACAACACAAAAAAAATACTGAACTCACCCAACATCAGGCTCTGGACAGACGGGACTGACATCTCTGCGGCTTTAAATGATCGCGGTGAGAAATAATCGCGTCAGTAGTGTTTCAGTTCGCTCGCATGTGCATCATATGCTTAGTGACCTCAGTGTGCGCTAGACGAGACGCACTAACACGAATTAATCATCGGAATTGAACACAAAAGGTCAGTTGTTGGGCAGACGAAGCGTTATGTGACTGCGAGGAAACTAGACGGCAGGTTCGTTTGCTGCTCTTCTTGCAGTCGGTGGATTTGCAGCGATAGATTGAGGATTTTGGAGGGTTTGATTCCTGGCGCAGTGACTGCAGGCGAGCCGCTGCAGCGACGCAGGGTCCTAAACCCCGCCGAACAACTTGTTTTAGCGACAGCACGATGGAATCCTGACGTCGACCAATCAGAAAGCGCCGATTATGATTAACCACGCCCATTCCACTCTGCGCATAATCAAACAAGATTGTAGACAGTAGTTTAGTATTTCCACTCTGCTGTAAAAGTACTTTTCAGGTGTCAGTACTTTATCTGTGTTTTTCTTTAGAAAACTTTACTTCACAACATTCCAAAGCATAATATTGCACTTTCTCGTTTCATATTAAATATAATTTAATACTTAATTACATTAGAGATCTATTACTTTCTTTCTTTCACTCAAGTAAAAGTAATTGAAATATTTACTCGAGTAGAAGAAAGTACTACATTTTTAATGTTCTCAAGTATGAAAGGTAAAACAAACAACAACTTTTATTTATGAAATGTAGTGCAGTAAAAAGTAAGACATTATGCTTTGGAATGTAGTGAAGTAAAAGTTTTCCAAAGAAAAACACTCTGATAAACTACAGATAATTTTACATTTACTTGAGCAAAGTAAAAATACTTCACTACTGTCTGCGTCTAATTGTAGTGAAGTACACCGTTTTAGCTATGTAAAAATAAATGTAATTAAAAATTATTATTATTTTTTTTATTTGCTTTCGGTACGTTTTGCAAGCTTGTTTCTGCAAACAGAAAATAAAGGTAACTGCAACGGTTTCTTAAAATTATGGCGCTTTATTTCTCACAATTCGAACTTTTCTTTTTTATAACCTCACAGTTGAAAGTTTACATCTCACAATTCCATTTTTTCCTCGCAACATGAACTCGGAATTCTGAGGAAGAAAGTCAGAAGTGCGAGTGTAAACTCAGAATTTTGAGGGAAAAATAAAAATTGCAAAATAAATTCAAAATTCAGAGGAAAAAAAAAAAAGACATTTGCGACAAGTCAGAATCTTGAGGGAAAAGTCAGAATTTTAAGTTTATAACATATACTTACAATTCTAAGGAAAAAAACTGAATAGTGAAATAGTCACAATTACCTTTTTAATATTTTTACTCACGGCGTAAAAAAGCTTCAAGTAGAGATTACACTACTATAATAATTCTAAACAGCCAATTACATACACAGCTTAAGATTTATTGTTCAGAACACAACAGTACAAAAGTTTTTTTTTTTTTTTTACATCACAAATTCGATACATGCAGTACTTCTGCAAAACTGACACTAGAGAAATTTCAAGAATGACAGCCAACAAGACTGCGTGAGCCAAGCAGATCACTACAACCGTAATGACTACGGTAACAAGTTAATGAAAAGACCAAAAACAACATTCAATCCGACAACTGCATGACGGAATATATACAAGTCCAAGGGATTCTACGCAATTCCTTGCAAACAAATCCATAACGAATGCCTAGAACTTCTGTGCGATGAGCTTTTTCTTGGCGTCGTGGGAGAATCTGTTCGAGCGGAACAGCTCGCTGTCGTAAAACGCAGACAGGTTGTGGATGTTAATCTGTCGGGCCTGAGGACAAAAAAGGTGGCATTACAACTCAAATTCGCAAATGACACGTGTAATATCTCTGTAATATAGTACTTATGGGGACTTTTCGATTTAAACATCTATTAGGTACCTTGTCCACCAGATCCTTTTCAGGAATCTCGATGGTGTCCTGCTGGGCTCCGTAACGGTTGCGCTGATATGCGACCTGCTCGGAAACCAGCTGCTTCAGGATGAAGAGCAACAGCTCGTTGTTGTCTCGTCTGAAGGCCAGATACCGCGCGAACGTCTGTAGAAATGCAATAAATGTGACTTCGGTTACCAACTTGAGCAGGATCAGACAGAATCCTTGCAGTCGCAAGACATGCGCAGCGAAGCACACATGGAAAACCGTTGCCAGATCAGTTTGCTCACCTTCCGCATGCTCCTCATCACGCTGAACTTCTGCGTGTCGATGAAGCTTTCCAGCATGACACGGATGGCCATGTTCACGTCGTCCTCCAGCACATAGTCCCGCAGATGCATGCGGGCGTGTGCCTCGGCCATGCGGATCATGGACTCTATGTGACGCACGGTGATTGGGATACTTCCTGTAGCCTGCGAGACAACATACATGATTACTCGCTGACATTTCAGTGATAACTACGCCCAGACAGACGCATTTTTTTGTGCACATTTTGGGGGGAAAAACCCTGCAGAATGGCCTAAAAAATGGTGGAACTTCTTAAAATTGTCTTTAGCTTCAAATGTTATTCTCACCATAGACTATTTTTGACAGTCGCAATGTAAAACAATAAAAACACCCCAGTTATACTTGTTTTTATTTTTTACATTTCTTGGCAGCAAGTTATGGAAGCAAGGTAATTTCAAATCTTCTGACTCTTTACTCGCAATTGAGAGTTTATATCTCACAATTCACACTTTTCTCAGAATTGCCAGTTTATAATCTCACAATTGCAAGTTATAAACTCGTAATTGTGAATTTACATTTCACACTTCAAATGCGACTCTTACCATAGACTCTTTTCGAAGGTCGCTGTAAATTCGGGCCACCTTGTCCTGGTCCATCCGATTAAGTTTTGGTCGCACGCGTTCTTTCGCATACATGATATACTTCCTGAGCAGCTCCTGAGGGATGGGTGGGACATCGAAGGTGTTTGGCAGCACCACCTCCTCAAGACTGGCCACGCCCCCTTCTTTGTTGCTCGGGTGATGTTTGATGTGGCTGCCCACCACGAAGCGTGCCAGCATCTCATCCTAAACCGAAGAGAATTATGGGTAAAGAGATTGGCAAAGCTTGAGCAGGATATGTTTACACGACAACAATGTACTAAAAGTGGCACTGTTAGCCTTTTTGAAAAGTTTCGTTGAAAAGAAACGTTGTCAAAATAATCCCCATTTACACGGATCTGCGAAAACGGCTAAAAATGCTGTATTATGCATGCCAGGCCAGTAGATGGCAATAGCCGCGTTTCCATTACCCTTCAAATTGCGCAAATTGAAATTGCGAATTGAAAATACGCCTAATGGAAATGCGTCAATTTCGCAAAAACGGCCATATATCGCAAAAAAGTTTACAAAATATCGCCAAAGTTTTGCACAAATCTGTAATGGAAACGCGCCTAGTGTCACATTGCAAAGAAACACTACACACCTACGCATGTACCTATAGACTGAACACGTCAGTTTTCAGAAATTTGTGTTTCTGTAGTTTACACAGAGACGATAACGATATCGTTTTCCAAAACCGGCCCTTTGAAAACCAACAGTTTTCAAATGTTCACATCTTCAGGCCCCCAAAAAAGTAAATGAACGGCCAAAATGCATAAAAAGTTTTACATTTTCAGTTGAAAACGCAGTGTTAACGCCCCGAAGACATCTACGGACTTACCTGCACAGGGTCGACGGTGTCTCTTACAACACACAGAACGTCAAATCGAGAAATGATGGGCTCTGTCAGGTCCACGTTTTCCGAAAACGTGAGCGACGGGTCGTAACGCCCACCTTTTAAGAGAAAGAACACTTTCATAAGAAAAATTACTGCTGCCAAAAAACTTTGCTGCAACTTTTAGTCCAGCAGAAAGTAATTAAGAACATGACTGTGCTTCAGATTAACACGCAACTCTTGAAGTGCCGATGGCAAAATTGAAGTGATGACCCTCATTTAGACTTTCATTAAAACGCTCCCAGAACGCACCGATAGGGTTGGCGGCAGCGATGATAGTGCAGCGAGCCTGCAGCGATGTGACAATCCCAGCTTTAGAAATGGAGATGCTCTGCTGCTCCATGGCCTCATGGATGCTGGTCCTGTCCTGATCGTTCATCTTAAAAATGAAGAAAAAACAGGTTCACTTAACTATTCACCAAAAAATTGCTTGTCCAAAAATTGGTGGAACAGTGCATCAAAAACGTCTTTAAAGCTACAAACCGTTCCCAACTCAACACACGGCACCAATTTTAACATTCGCTCACCTTATCAAACTCGTCAATGAGGCAGACACCTCGGTCCGCCAGCACCAACGCTCCCGCCTCCAGCGTCCACTCTCGAGTCACGGGATGACGTTGCACGTAAGCCGTCAGACCCACAGCGGAAGCGCCCTGGCCTGTAGTGAAGACCGCGCGACTCGAAACCTTCTCGACGTACTTTAGGAACTGGGACTTGGCTGTGCCCGGATCTCCACATAGGAGAACGTTAATATCGCCACGCACCTTGTGCTTCCCACCTGTTGAGGGAGCCAGAAGACAATTGAGGAACTTGAAGGACTCGGACGTGTAAATTAACAGCTGTGAAAAGAGCATGAGCAGGATACCTGGATTCTTGGCTTCGCCGCCAAACAGAGCAAGCGCCAGACCGCGTTTGATGTCTTCGTGCCCATAGATGGACGGACCAATACTTGCGAAAATCTGTAGGAGGAAAATTAAGCTTAATCTGGGAAATGTTATGATATACTCAGAAGTTCAAGCTCAAACTTTGATATGTGACCATCGCTCACCCGTTCTCCGATGCGCTCGTCTTTGGACAGAGCCATGATGGCTTTGATGTCTTCATCAGTGAGCTCCGCCACGGCCACGCCCTCATCCTTACGGGCGATGTGATTGGCCAGGATTACAGTAGCGAAGACAGGGAAGCCGTTAGCCATGTTGAGAGAGCCGTCGTAGTTGTTGTGGTAGATTCCTGTGAGCTCCTGCAAAAATAAATCATTTGAGGATATACAGTATTTAAATATATATTAAATGAATACTTGCAATGTTATATAGTGGAAAAAGAAATAAATACACATTTAGATGGACACATTTTGCTTGAATATTACTTATTGTGATATAAATATAAGTTGTTGTGATTAGGGTTGCAAAGGGGTTGCAAGGGGTTTCCAAAAATCCCTGGACCACTCCAAAAAATCCTGGAAAGTTTCCAAAATTTCTGGAATATTTCTGAAATTTACTGGAAATGTTTCACCTTTTTGCAACCCTAGTTGTGATGGTAGATTCCTGTGAGCTCCAGCCAAAATAATTCATATTTGTTTATTTACATATATATTTAAGCATTATATGCATTTTTAAATGGTGTGGAAATATATATAAACATTTAAATGGGCATACTTTAAATTGAATACTTGATTTAGCTATAATAACAAAAGATGCAGCTGTTGTGTCGCTCCAGCAAAAAGAACACACTTTTAGAGGGTATATTTTATTTAGACATATAATTAAGCAATTTTTAAAATGTTATATAGTAAGAAATAAAATATCAATACACATTTAGGGACTCTATTGTACATAAATATTACTTATATTTATATTATATAGTTTCAGTGAGTAGCACAAATGTGTTAACACAAAAGGCTAATTTTTTTATATTTTCAGGTCCGAAATGACATATTTGGGGGCATGTATTACTTATTTGAATATTATTCAGTTTTACAGAATTTATATTATTTTATTTATATTTTAAGACAAGTCAAGATGTTTAATGGCTAAAATTCCTAAATTAACAGTGACCTTTATCCAAAGCTTCATCTTACGCCACAAAACCATTGCCTCTAGTGGTTGGGATAAATCAGTGCAGGTCAAGCTTGTTCATTAAAGGGGTTTTGATAAATGTTGTATTCATCAGTGTCTGCTGACTCACAATCTCGTCTCCGGGTTTGCAGGTGTCCACCAAGTCAGCCAGCAGGATGGCGTCTTTGGAGCGAGGCAGGCGGCCTGCCGCGACTTTGCCAGGACTCTCCTGAATGGTGATACGCTGGTAGTTCTGGTACACTGTCTGTGAAAGGCAAGAACCTTAGCTAACAAGAAAAAAAAAAGAAACATCTGCTTCCTGCTGCTATGGCAACAAACGGCAAAAATGAGATGGCAAAAGCTGTGCTCTTAAGAGCACATTTACATAAGTAGATAAGCAAGAACGCAATTTCTTTTCTGAAATGTATTGGTTTATTATTGAATAATCAGGATTAAAGGTTGATTAATCACCAACTGCTAAATTCTGTTTGGATCAGATAAAATAAATATAGATAAATCTCTCAAATTGTGAAAAATGGTCTTTAGTTTTGTTTTAATCAATAAAAAATAAATGGTTAAATCCACAATTTTCTTTAAAGATTTTAAGATTCTCCCAAATACACTATACTCTCAACTGCAAATCGCAGAGAAAGGTTTTCCTCACGCACCTGCTCCATGTTGATCTCAAACGGACCGAGTGATTGACACTCGGGACAGGAGCCCGGCTTCACCTCCTGGTTCTGGGACTGGAAGAAGGGTCCCAAGATGAAGTTACACTTGTTACAGTTGTATTTCACCATACCGAGCTGCGGCAGAACTCCAGTGCAGCTGGTCACCACACCGCTGGTGCGGATCAACTGGTTCAGGTGAAGTTGCCTGGAAAAAATAAATAAATAAATATTTAAAATAAATATCAATAAATAAATAAATATTTATTTTTATTACATTATTTTTTTAAATTTTTAAATACATTTTTCTGAAAAACCCACAAAAGAGATCACAGCTGTGCATTATGTGTCTAAAATGCATTACGAAAACCAAAAGACATGAAATTGTTCATACCGGAGCGATCGAAGTTCTTCCACCAATGGCAGGTTGCCGATGCGGACGTGGATTTCATGTGCGATTCTGTCGTATTTGGGGTACATCGCAAGCACCACCTCTTTGGCGGCTTCATCGAAGATCTTCAGCATCTCGGCAGGAGCCTCCGGCAGAAAATACGCCAGCACGTGCTCCCTGGATGCAAGCTCTTCATAGTTCACCAGTAAACTCTCCTTATTTTCTGTAAAAATCGCAAAATATCAAGTCGAATCACCGCGTCTGGACTATATTACACAGTTTTCCCAGACGACCGTCCGCCACCCACCTTTGCACATGTCGCTGATGCGCTCTTTGAAGACGTTGTGTCCGTGCTCATCCACGTGTGTGCGCAGGAAGTTCTTGAAGCGGTGGTAGATCTCCAGTCGTGGGGCGGCCATTGAAACCCACTCCCTGACCGTGTGGCCCTTCATGTCCTCCAGGTTCTCAATGCTTTCGATCATCTCTTCATCCTCGCCATCCATCGCGACGCCCTCAGCTGCCCTCTCCGCGAGAACCCGCTGCCTCTTCGTGGGCCGTTTGTCGTCCTCGTCGTCACTGTCTGTCCATCGCAGAATCACAAACAAGGTTTAAACTAGTTTAATTACTTTTTCCTTGAGTGGCTTGCGGTACAATTATTTTTCGATGACTAGAACACCCACCGTACAGAAGTCCGCGTCCGATGCGGCCCATACCAAGGCCCTGTTCTCTGTCCCGCCGTCTCATGGCTGCTTCAGCTTCCGCCCGAGCGCCGGGAGAAAGTTCACTGAGATCTTCATCCTCATCCAGACCCTCTGCTTCATAACGGTCCAGTTCCGGAATGACACGGTAGTCTCTGCAAAAATACAGTAAAAATGTTAGCTTGTTAGCTGTGTTTTCATCCAAAGTTAACTTTGGGAAAATTGGAATATTGCATGAATCATTTGCATTTAAAGCACCGGTTTCATCCCATTAAATCAAGTGAACAAAACTGTCATACCCTTGGAAACCAGCACAAAGTAAATAATATAAATAATAAAAAATAATAAAAATAAAAGTTGCTGCAACTGAGGAAGCCATTAATGGCTCTTGTTCCCTACATAATAAACTACTTGTGCACAGGCTACATGCAATAATAAGCACTGTCATGTAATCATAATTTCAGATGCCTTATGTTTGGAAATGCAGTATCCCAAAATTAGCTTATATCTTATATAAGCTTATTAGCTTTTATATCACCACATCAGGATATAAAACGGTCTTAAACCCTATTCGCACGGGAATAGTATTATCTGGGGACCTTGTGTGATTTTGAAAACCGCCCCCCACATCTGAATTTCGTGTGGTGCATTTGCACGGGATAAGCGAAGCCTGTGATTTTACTCGAATTTACCGACTTATCTACCAGATACCCGGATGTCAAGGCTTTGAGAGTCCCGTTCTATGGTCCAGATGGATTTAAAAAAAAAGAAACTAATATAGTTTCGTGCACTGTGTCATTTACATTTCACCAGGTTAAAATAATATATCAAGCTTTATGCTTGATTTATTTGTAACACATTAACCTCAAACCCTTTTCAGCTTTCTCTTTCTGCAAATTGTATGGTGTAGCGATATGATGACAGCACCCAAAATACTATCAAACACTCCAACGCAGCTCCATTCTTCGCGGAAGATGGATAAAAAGGCGCACAGCAAACAAAAACCTCGAAAAATGATATGCGGCCAGCATCACAGAGATGCCGATTCGCACGGGACTAATATTATCACAGGACCTCGGTGTTCGGCGAAATATGGTAGGTCTTTTGCGGGGGAATTTTTACTTTACAAATTACAGACATGGCCGATTCGCACGGGATTAAGATCACAGACAACCTCCGCAATTATTACAAATGACTGGAGGTCACCAGGTAATACTAATCCCGTGCGAATAGGGCTTTAGGCACAGTTATAATTGTCATGCCTACATTTTGCAAGTTATTATCTGCAAGCCATCATAAACATGCCCACCATCAGAAGCACAGTCTCTCACCTCTCCATCCCATCTCCGATCAGCTCCTCTCCGTCTCTGTCCTCCTCATCAGGAATACTGTCTCCCAGAAGCCCCTCGGACTCGTCCTCAAACGGGGGCAGATCTCGGCCGGGGCTGGAGGTCAGGTCACCCCGCCGCGAGCCACGACTGGGGCTGGTGGCCATGTGAAACGACTCTGATGAATCCTGTTTTGAAACAAAAAAGTCAGTGTTATATAAAACAAAAATCTTTACACTAGAACTTAAGGAGAAATTTTAAATGTCAATGAGGAAAATGCACATGTGTAACTAGATCAGGCTGAGGTAATAATACTGAAACCAAGTATTACATCTGAAAAACAGACCTGTCAATCTGCCAATGTGTTACACACTCAATCTCTACCATCACATTATTTAAGAAAAGTCAGTTATAACTTGTAACAACTGCTGAACCACAACAAAGAAACTAGTTTTACCCACGTGGGACCTTTTTAGGCCAGCATAACTCTTCAACAGACAATATTCTTAGTATATTTATATGAATATATGTCATGCATCAGTTTTTAGTCACGTTAAAACCACACATTTCTATCATATTTATATAATATCAAAAAAAAAATTCTAATCAATGAAATGATTTCACAGGTACGGTTGTAACAAAAAATATATAACACAGAAATCGAGATCACAACGGATGTGTAAATGTGAACGCACACTTGTTAATGTTTATTGCATTGAGTTTATTAAAATATCAAGATCATTACATTTTAACTTTACTAGACAATCCTACAAGACAAGCCATGCACGCATAATTTCGAACACGTTTGCAAACTTCAAATACTTTAAAACATATTTGAACAATCGTTTAAAAGATCTATTTAAATAAACATCATATTACACAGAAATACACTCACCGCCATCTTCTCACGACCGTTTTGAACAGCAGCAAACCTGTAGACTAGCTTTTCCCGGGAAGACCGATTTTTCGCGCGAAATGCTCCACGTGACCACAAAGCGCGCGAGGCGTTATAAATATGTATCAGGAAGAGTCTGAGCACTGTGATTGGTTCGGTGGCAACAACGTCATTCCAAACTGAACGTTCATTGGTTTGACGCGAGAAAGGTGGCGGACATCGATAGAAAAAAAACACACAAAGCACTATAATAGATAGTGAAAGTTCACATTTTGTGTTAAATAAAATAAGCAGTCGGAACTACAGTGAAGACTCACATAAGTGCCAAACTATGTGACTCCTCAGACGGTTCTATAGTAAACCGTTTTTTAAGTTTATAATAAAACGAACTAGATTTTTTTTTACATTTTCTAAAGAAAACATGAGTGTTGTTTCTTTGTGTAAAGAATTTAATTTAAATGATCACATTCTTAAGTACAGTATGTTACTGGTTTAGTATGAAGAATTAAAATAACACAAAGAATGTACATACAACAATGAAACGTAGCATTGACACTGATCTTTTACAGCCTTGGACAATAATTGTACTCTTTAGATAAATTTTTCTCTAGTGTATTAATTGGCCCCTAAAGTGCACACTGTCTGCATACTTTTCAAGCACCTCTCAACAATATGTACAGAACTGGCACAGTCACAGCAAACGCAGCACAGGTCAGGACTGTATTGTATTGAGTTGTTTTGTTGATCTGCGCCTCCAGTCTTTTCTCCGTTTGACCGAGGCCTTGAACAACTGTCTCTGTATCGCATACAAAAAGCTGCGCATCTCGGGTTTGAATGACTGGCTTCTCCGTGGGACGATACTGCAGGGTCGTCTTGACCGCCTGCAGCTCGGTCTCAACCTTCCCAACATTCTCCTCCAGCTGCTCCAGCTGTGGTTTAAGGCTTTCAATGAGCCCTTGGGCTCTTTGGCTGTGTTGGAGAATCTCTCGGATCGCTTCTTCTGAAGAACTGGATGCAGAAGTTGGGACGACGGCAGTTGCTGGTGGGACAAACGCTGGTTTGACTGTTTTCACATCTTTTACACTGCCTTTCAAAGCCATCCTGAGTGAGTCGATGAGGTTGCGGAGTTCGTCTTGTTGCGTTTTGTGCATGTTGGCCTGGACCTTGATGGCTTCCTGAAGACTCACCGGTCCCTTCTGGGCCTCCAGCAACAGGCTCTTGAGTTCCTGCAAACGTACCCGGTTTATATAAGTCGAACCCATCACGCCAATGACAGCGCCCAACACCGAACCAATAACGGACCAGTTTTTGGTACGTTCAGCCCTGGTCCGCTCTTTCTCGTGGCTCCCTCGCACGGCAGCAGAGAAGAGCGCAAACTTCTCTCGCTCGCCGCCTTCTGCGTTCTCATAGGCTGTTCTGAGGCGCCGTTCTTCCTGTAAACGACAAAAACGTTAAAGGGAAGGTGCAATTGTGCAATCCATATACGTATAGGGCTGGGCGATAAAATAATCGATAATGAAAATAATCGCGATATACATTTCCTCGATAAAACGATAAGTGTTTGATACAGTGGTTATGCACCAAAAGCAGAACGAATCAGCACTACTCATGTGAACCACGTCACACGGACCATTTATCCACTCGGCTCAAACTTCAAACGGCAGCACAGCACGAGTTTACTAGAGCAAATGCGTTTACTCGCTGATGAGTCTTGGTCACATGACACTAAACAGCGCTGTGAGATCCAGAGTGAAGAGCTTGAATTCAGAGAAGAACACAAATTATTTAAACTAGTTTAAAGCCAGATGAAACAGCAAAAACACTGTGCGCAATGATACAGTCAGAAGGCTTTTCAATCTACAAATCGCCATCATTTACCATGGATTTACTGTATTTAGACTACTGTTTACACTCTTAAAAATGCTGGGTTAAATACAACCCAGTGCTGGGTAAAATAGGGACAAACCCAGCAATTAGGTTGTTTTGACCCAGCGGTTGGGTTAAATGTTAAATGCTGGGTAGTAACCCAACCGCTGGGCCAAAACAACCCAATTGCTGGGTTTGTCCCTATTTTACCCAGCACTGGGTTGTATTTAACCCAGCATTTTTTAGAGTGTACAGATACCTAAAAACCATATAGTTATATTTTACCATGGTATTGAGGTGCTGTATGTTTGGTTTTAACTCTGGTTATCATGATCTAAATGTATGCTATTCTGGAAGGCCAATGGTTAATTTTAATAAAACTCAAGTCAGAATAATTACATTTCACCATATAAAAATGAGGTTGTTACTATTTTTGATAACGAACATAAATTTACATCTGCATCCTAACTCAAGCTACTACTACTGTCATCTCAAGCTACTGTCAAATGTACATTTCTAAGAGACAAAAAATGCAATATTATAATACGTTTAATATTAGAAATGTTTAATAGACAAAAATAAAATATTAATATTAGAGCCTGCACTGCAAACTGTGCTGAAGATACGCGTCATCAAAGTCAGGCAACACAAACCTGCTTCATGATTTGAAACGATATCACTCATTAGAACATGCAGAAACTAAGAAATTAATTATTTTCTATTAAGATCATTATTTTGTTAAGGAAAAATGACTGGAAAAGTGTAAAATTCAAAAACGTGTTCTGACCATAAAAAGTAGTTTAAAACCACAATTAACTTTCACTGAGGAGCAAAAATCTGCCTTTAAACATGAAAGAAATTAAGATTTGAAATGAATCGTGATAATTATCGTTATCGACTGATATGAAAAACTGTATCGTGATAATTTTTTGTCCATATCACACGACATTACTAGGTCCACCTCACCTGCAGTAACTTATGTTCCAGTGTGGCTAACTCTAAATAATGTGCCTCTTCACGTGACACGCGGTCCAAACGGTCCCTCACTTCCTTCAGCCGAACTTGGAGAGCCTCCAGGCTGGTGTGAGCTTCTCTGACGATTCCTCTGGCGACCATGAAGGCCTTTTCGGCCTAACAGCAAAACACAATTCAGATTATACTCACATTTAAATGAATCCAAGAGTAAGTATGTTTACATGCACTCATTTTTGTCAATCGGAATGAATTGAAAAGGAACTTTGAATCCGACTGAGAAGCAGGGGCGGGTCTACATGGTGGCCCCCATTGAAATATGGTTGGCCACCCCAAGTGTCAACACCACCTCATCTAATCCGATCGATTTTCATTCAGCTCGAGCTCAATCGAAGTATTTACATGAATGCTTTTCAATCCGATTGAACCATCAATCCAATTACTAATGGATTATTTGGATGCATGTAAACGTGTCTACTCAAAGGTTTGTCTTTTCTGGGTCATTTGTCATACGTTACCTCTGTGACATTGGACTGAGCATCTCGGACTTCATTAAGCCCGACAAACTCCTCATATCTCTCCCACCAGTAGTTGACGCTCACTGTTGTGGTTTTCACCACATTTCGGCCCCACTGCCTTCCCAGCTCTCCAGCATATGTTACCGCAGACGCTGTGCGCTCCTTAACGGATGTAATTTTATTCGGCTCATCTTTGGGACTTTGCTGCTGGGTGCAATAGCTTCTGTGGAGGTTCCACTGGACCGGACCGGACACCTGGTGTCGGTAGAGACACATGGAGCCGCTTGGAAATACAGTGTTCCCTCTGAACCTCATTGAAGAGCCTCATATGTGGGGCCGACTCACGTCAAATATGCAACCTGTAAACATACTAAAAATATAGGGACTTCATGAGATGATTCATAAGGTGGTATCAGTGATACAATAAAAAAAAAGATGATGTTTTCTAGCTCCACTAGCTAACTTTGTTTGCATTTGCAAATACAAAAAAATAGAGAGGTTGACAATGATAAATATAGACTAAATAGGACATTTACTTATATTTAGTTTCGGATTCAGTTTTCATTTTTGAAAGTCAGTAACACAACATAAATTAAAGTTGTCCATGTTGGTAATTTACAAGTGAATAATTATGATCAAAGTAAGTATGACGCTGATGTTGCTGTTATATGTGTATTGGTCCCGAAACTGTTATTATAAATTCATTTAAACTGATTGTCGAGCTGATGAATGAATCGGCAAACAATGTTTACATTTCTAACTGAATTAATTTCAGGACAAGAACCAACCAAACTCATACCAGCGATTCTCCGATTCGTGACGTTTCTGCTCGGGTCAGTAATTTATCATGTTTACAGACTGTATATTATATAATATTTCTGTCTAGTTTCCTGAAATGTCATCGTGCTGCATTTCTTTCAGGCACTGTCTGGCTGGTGCTCTTTTCGAAAGATTCTTTTTTTTTAACGATTCAATTGAACCGATTCGCGAATCATTTGCAAATCACTCGACTATACGATTTTTTTAAATAGCATTAACCAGAACAAACAACAGTGGGGAGATTATAAGATTGCGGGGGGAAACCCGTGTCCGAATCTTCTAGGAACTCCACGACTCGAACGAATCCAGTTAGTTTATGATCCAGTTCATTTCGACTAACCGTCCGAATGAACCGATTCGCAAAGATGAATCAGGCATTTGACGGGAACAGTACATCCGGGTAACCGCTGAGGTCTTAACAGCGCGGAAAAAAACAAGAGACAGGCTGCAGCGTGACTCGAAAACAAGCGTTCGCTGAATAATCTGAGCAGCATGTCTGGAAGAGAAGGTAAAAATCAAATAAAATACAAAGACCGTTTCATCACGTAGTAGAACGTCGCATAAAATAAAAACGAGAAGTTCCGATGATTTTTAACTTGTTGTTTATCTTTATATTCACGATGCTATTAGCATTAGCCGTATTAAGACATTTCACATTTTAATGAGTGGGTTGGTTTCTCTTTGTAATGTTACACTGAAAATCAATTTAAAATTCATTATTAATGTTAATAAATGTGTATATTAAACATTTTTTGTCAAATGTATTATTTTTATTTCTTGATGTTATAATGGTATCCAAATACTTAATTATGCAGGAGGTAAAAAGAAACCTCTCAAGGCTCCCAAAAAGCAGTCGAAGGATATGGACGATGTAAGTTCACTTGTACATCGAGGTTTCTGC